TCCTCTCCCTCGGCCTCGTCCTCGCCGACGACATCCGCGCTCCCGATCCCCTCCCTCCTTATCGCGCCTCCATCAAGGTCCCACGACCTAAAACTCACTCTTTTGTAATTTTATTATTATTATCATTACTTTTTGGATACAGTCTCTAAAAAAAATCCCAATTTGCAGTTGATTGTATATCTGATTACTTCATAACTTTAAAAAAAAAAATCTTTTTCATGATATACAAATAGTTCAGTAGGCATATTCTCCATGATGCATGTTATTTGCCGATGGTATGGTGTTTGTTGATGAGACTGAGGAAGATGCTGATTCTAAAGGAGAAATGCGGAGAGAATCTCTTAAATCTCGAGGATTTAGAACTAGAATAAATGAACGCAGTTTTAGTAAAATTGTGAGAAGAATGAGCGCGCAGTAGATTTTGATGGTAAAAGATACCTAACAGGAGTCATTTTCGCGATTTTGGATCAGTTATTCATCAAAGATGGCGATATTGGAGATGGTGTGGTCTATTGAGTCAAATCCGCTGGTTAAAGTGGAGGAGTTCTTCTGGAGATAGACTACCTCTGAATTTGAGGAGAAATTTTTAGAGGGCAGTTATAGCACCCACAATGATTTATGGTTCAGAATGCTGCACAACTAAGAAACATGTGCAAAAAGTGAGCGTAGAAGAAATGAGATAGGATAAGGAATGTACTGATTTCTTATCCTATCTCTCAGTGCGTATCCACTCATCCATAGTAACATGTAGAGTTTGCTCCTATTGAGGATAAAATGAGAGAATCGTTTAGATGATTTGGCCATGTGCATCGTAGTCTATTCAATGCATCAGTTAAGATAAGTGACAGGATTATAATTAATGGAGAAAAGAGAACTGAAATGAGAGGAAGAGTAGGATTCACGTAGCAAACCCCACAATTTTGCGATAAAAGCTTTGTCTTTGTTGTTGGAATAATGGGTATGAGGTAGTAGCTCATTTTGCTAAATAAGCTATCAAGAGAGAGACCCATGGCGAGGCTCAGCCTTTTAGTCACATCAGAGCAGGTGGGCGTCACCACCCCTATCTTTTGGTATCTTATTTTGCTAGATGAAGTGACTATTCATATACTATATCATATTATCTTTTTGTATGTTTACATATACTTCCCTCTTTTGATTCATTTTTTTTCTTTTTCTTTTTCTTTTTCTCCCTATTTAGAAAAGGGATTACATCTCAGTTTATCGTCTCTTCAGTCTTATGTGTTAAAACAATGTTCATCTCCTTTGCATTAATGTTCATAAACAAGCTACTAGAAAATATCCTCTTTTTTTGCTCACTTTCTTTAGTTATTAAAACATTCCTGTTATTGTAGGATGGCTATGCTGTAGTGGCTTCAGATGGTCCTGGTGTATATCCAGTCATAACTGAATCAAGAGCTGGAAATGATGGCATTGGCGTCGTAGTTACCCCTGGAACAGTTGCATATGTTACAACTGGAGGTAAATGTTCTTGGTGCTTTTTGAATATGACATGTTGGGTATACCATCCTTAGTCTATGACTATTATTCAATTTTTGGTGGCTACTGATTCTTTTTTTTACGGAGCAGATTGGTTAGTTTTAAAAGACATACCTTTTCCTTTTATTTTGTGATAAAGTTGCAATAGAAACTATGCGCATCTCCTTCTAATTTATGACACCTACGAAGACAAATTTCATGTTTTCGGGTATATGGAGAAATATGATTGTAATTTTATAATTTCATGAGAGATTGATGAAAAGTGAATTCTGCAATTTGTTTGAACCCCCTAGGCAATGCTATGTTTTCTTAATTCCAAAAAGTAGTTTATATATAAAAATTTGAAACATGTAAGCCAATGGAATCATGATACTGCATAATCTTATTACCCACTTTCATTGGAACTCCTGAAACTTTCATGTCCCCCCAGTTGTTCAGTCTTGGTCACAAAACAACCTGATAGGCTGATATTTGAGGTTTTAAGCAACTACCTGATTTTAATCATCTTATTTCCAACCGAACGACTTCTAGGTCACGAGTTGAAGGATACAAGCTCAAACTGTAGCTGCCTTTTCCGCTGTTATGATAATATTTCTATTCAATCTTATTACTTCTTTATTTAAATGGATTCCCTTTCAGGGCCAATACCTGAGGGTGCTGATGCTGTTGTGCAAATTGAGGATACTGAAAAAGTGGCTGACTCTTTAAATGGGGTAAAACATGTCAAAATATTGGTGGGAGTGCCCCAAGGACTTGATATTCGTCAAGTGGTAAATAGGATGATTTATTTTTTTGTTATTGCTATATATTTATTTTTTGCCAAAGCTATTATATGACTTCTAAGCTGAATAAATTATCTACCAAAAATCCGTATACTATGCAGGGTTGCGACATTGCAAAAGATACTATTGTGCTAAAGTCCGGGGAGCAAGTTGGCAATCCTGAGATTGGTTTGCTTGCCACTGTTGGAGTTACAGTGGTGAAGGTATATTCCTCCCTTTTTCCAGTAAACTAGTTGGGAAAATGTTGTTACTTACTTGATCTTCCTTGAATACAGGTTTACCCTAGACCAACTGTTGCTGTTTTGTCTACAGGAGACGAGCTAGTAGAACCAGGGACTGGAACTCTAGGTCGAGGCCAGGTTACATCTAATTTATGTCAGTCTTGAGCATATAGGACATAACTCAGTACTTAATGTTTCTGATTCTTTGTGTTTATAATCTTCAGCATAATTATGCTTCACATGGATTTGTCTGTTCGTTCTTATATGCAGATAAGAGATTCAAACCGTTCAATGCTAGTAGCTGCTGGTATCCAACAGCAGTGCAAAGTTGTTGATCTTGGTATAGCTCCTGACAATGAGGAAATTCTTGGTGAGACATTGGATGCCGCAATTGATTCTGGGATTGATATACTATTGACTTCCGGTGGTGTTTCAATGGGAGATAGAGATTTTGTCAAACCTAATTTGGAAAAGAGAGGAATGATCCATTTTGAAAAGGTAGTGGTGGTTCCTCTAATCTCTTTCTCTAGATTCTGATGAAAGCTCCTGTCATTCTCTGGTATCATGAGACACTGGCTTATGAAAGTGATGAAAATCTTAAATTGCTTCTTTGTTTATACTTGTTTGCACCATAACACGATCTTTTGAATAATCTACATGCATTCTAAAGAAAATAAAAATTCCTCCCAAAGCTGGTTTTTAGGAATGGAACAGTGAAATGCGACAGTGAAGGAGCAGGCTAGGGATAACTTGAACCTCAGAATCTGAACAGAGCATCATTACCTCAAGATCTCTTGGTTACTTTTGACAACAAAAAATGAAGGAGATTTAGGATTAGTATAAATAGACGCATATCATATCAAGATTTAAACTACCTTTGTGGCTCGATCATTAACCTTTAGCTTCTTGCATTGTGCATACTGCATGTTTTAAAATATAATGGTTGTATTTCTTTGTACATGTGGTCATTAATGGAACCTAGTTGCATATTTTTATTACTATAAACACATCTTCATGCTTAAGATTCTTTACGTTATGAACATTTTAGAAATGCATCCATTTTTAGTTCACGTCTCTCTCTTAAGTTGTCTGTATACGCAGTGTTCTGGCACCTATTTCTTATTCCAGTTTGACATGCCAAAGACGTGTGAAATGAATAAGCTAATTATGACATTTATTGTAGATATTCAAATCCAGGAATTCAGATTAAACTTGGCTAGATCCTAGGTTCAGATAATTGCCTTATAACATGATATTGACCATCCACTGTTACAAGTCTTAATGTGACATTTAATTAACACCTTGTCACAAATTTATTCTAATCATGCTCATACATTTGAGATAAAAGCTTTGATGTTTTTTGTTCTTGTGCTGTTCCTTAAAATTTTAAGACTGAATGACACTAAGCAATTATGAAGGACGGATTGTTACTATCTGATATAAACCATCTTGTATCTGGAACTGGAAGATAGCATAATTCATGTGCTATGTGTTAACTATTTACTTGGATCATAATGTCTGTTTTTTCTCATTTCCTGTAGATTAACATGAAACCTGGAAAGCCTCTGACATTTGCTCAAATTAGAAATGATAAAGGGTCAAAGACAATTCTTGCCTTTGGTTTGCCTGGAAATCCAGTGAGCTGTTCCGTTTGCTTCCATCTTTTTGCTGTACCCACCATTCGTCATCTTTCTGGTTGGTCGAATCCTCACCACCAAAGGTTACTATTATTGCAAATTTTAGTTGTTAAATCTTGAAGTTGAAACCTAGTTTATGTGATGTCCATGAACAAAATGATGAATCCTGACGAATCCTGCTTCTGTGCAGAGTGCATGCCTGTATTGCAAACTCAATAAAGACAGACCCTAACCGACCAGAATATCATCGTGCCATAGTAAGATGGGAGTTTGTTACTGCAACAGGCAGCCCGGGGTAATAAATGTAGCCTATTTATATTTTCGCTCTCATACTCAATCTTCTGATTGGCTCTTTAAAGTATTAAATATGTTGTACTGCTTATAGTTTTGTTGCTGAGAGCACTGGACAACAAATGAGTAGTCGCCTTCTCAGTATGAAGTCTGCTAATGCATTACTAGAGTTACCTGCCACCGGGCAGATACTTCCTGCTGGAACATCTGTTCAAGCAATATTGATTTCAGACATAAGTTGTTTTCCTCAGGGTAAGTCATCTGGAGCCACTTCTATGTCACTTCATCAAGAGCATGCGGTCAAAAGCAACAAGTCCACACACATGCAAGTGGAGGCCGCATCTCTGGAAAAGTTTAAGGTAGCAATTCTTACAGTGAGTGATACAGTTGCATCAGGGGCAGGACCTGACAGAAGGTATGTCAATTTCTTTTTGTTGTTTATCATTCTTCATACTTGTGGTTGTACATTTCTAAATTTCCTGTATATAGTCCATGTATTCATCACATATAGGAAGCTTGTTATTAATTTTCCAAGTAAACTACATATAATCTGGTTAAATCACGAAAAGAATGGGAAATTTCATTAGCTTTTCTCTCTTTTGCTTAGTTCGTGACTCAAGGACAAATGTTATTCCCCTCAAAAAATAGCCCCCCCAAAAAAGTCAAATTCATCTTACCTTCTATTTGTGGCATTGTTTTTTTTTGTCAATGAAAAATTTTCATTCATTTTACCAATTGTGAAATGTATAGTACATCAAATACCAGAACGCCTGGTAATCAAAGCAAAAGAAAAAATTTACATTCTCTCAATTGTATCTTTCATATGAGCAGGTATAGTTTCATTCAAAATTTTAGAGTAGATGGAGATTTTGATTGCTCGAAGTAATATACTTGACTCCCTAGCTTTTCCTTAAAATATCCTTAAATTTCTCTCTTGCCAAATCAAATAGATTGTTACAGAGACTGCCATCCTCTTCAGCATCTTCAAGAAACCTCTTCCTTTCAAGTTTAAAGAATACCAATTATAATTTGGTTCCAATTACATGATCTCCAAGAATAGTCCATTCACTCCATCACTTTATTCCAGATTTCTGCAGTAAACTAACACTCAAAGAATAGATGCCTAGTTGTTTGGCATTTAGAACAGAGCACACAATTTTGATTTACCTCCAGAATATCCATACGACATAGCCTGTCCAAGGTGAGAAGTCTGGAGTGACATACTAACCATAGAACAAAAGAGTGTTTAGGGTAATGAAACCCTTTCCAGACTGTGTTAGACCAATCCACTGAAGGAGCAGGTTGAATTAGAGCATAGTACACAGAAGATAAATGAATCCTACCATTTGTGCAACAACCATTCATGATTCTGTGCAAGTTATCCACATTGCCAAATTTGTCAAGCACCAAATTTCTAACTTTGAGAAGTTGTTTCCACATCCATCAATCATTCACTTTACTTTGAATTTGCCAGACATTTGAAGTTTGTAAGTAGTTTTCATGTATCCACTTGACCCATAGCAAATCTTTTTTCAAGTGAATCATCCATAGGAGTTTTGTAGCAGCTGCAAAATTCCATGCCCTTGCTGAAAACAGACCTAACCCCCTATTGTTTCTTGCTTTGACAGATAGTATTCCAGGAAATCAGATGAATTTTATGCCCCCAAAGAAACTCTGAGCAAAGCCTGTCAATTCTTTCCAAAGCTTTGAATGGTAGGATATACTTACTGATCCAAAAGGTTTGAATTCCCAGAATTACAGACTTGATAAGCAGAAGTCTCACCGCATAGGATAGTTTTCTTTTATGCTGCCAAGTTTGGAATTTATCTGATATCTTGTCAATTAGAGCAGAACAATTAAGATAAGTAAGCCTCTTAGCATTCAATGGCAGACCCAAGTATTTCATTGGTAATATCCCCTCAGAGAAGCCCAGGAAGTTGCATATCTGATTTTTCAGGCTTTCATCAATTCCACACAAATACACTGAGCATTTACTAGCATTGGCTTCCAATCCAGAGACCTGATAGAACTTCTGAAAACAAGTGTATAATCTAGCAATAGAATTCATGTCAGCTTTGCTAAATAAGAGCAAGTCATCTGCAAAGATCAAATGAGTGATCTTTAATCTGAAACATTTAGGACGGTACTTATATATCCTGTCACCCTGTAGAGAATTTAACTTCCTTGATAGATATTCCATACCCAGGACAAATAGGTATGGTGATAAGGGGTCATCTTGCCTTAATCCCCTAGCACCATAAAAATAACCATGCAATGCACCAGATAAAAAGAACTTTGGGGAAGTAATGCATTCCATAATCCAGCAAATCACAATACTAGGAAATCTCAGTCCAATTAGCATAGCTCTGATGAAGTCCCAACTTATAGTATCAAAAGCTTTTCTCAAGTCAACATTTAGAATAGCTCTAGGGAAAATGTGCTTTCTACCATAATTTTTAATGAGTTCATGAGCTAATAAGAAATTACTAGAGATAAGCCTCCCCTTGACAAACACTGAGCTTCATTAATCAGGTACCCCATGTTTTTTGAATTCTGGTAGCAATTTATTTTAGTGATGATTTTATAAACCACATTGCAATAGGAGATTGGCCTGAAATCTGATGCTGAAATGGGGTGGAGAATTTGTGGCATAGCTGCATAGGGGATTTTGGAGTCTATTCCTTGCTTTCATGAACTTTGGTCTCATGCCGTTGGATGAGCTTACCTAACCGACTATCAAGGTTCTCCGACATGACACTAGGAACTCAGACCAAGGTCACCAAGCCAAAGAGGGTTTAAAATTAGGTTGATACTTGTCTAATTAATTTCTTTGTTGGGGTTTCTTGAATTTGAGTTGTGCTACTCAGTCCAGATGAGAAAGGGGAATGATGGTGGTGGTGGTTTACATGATGAGCAGATTAGTGCAACTAACCAGCTTTGCCTTACCATATGCATCATGTTATATGTAGGCTGCTCTTCAAAGAACTAAAGTGAACCCTAGGATTGCAGATCGTGTAGGCATCTAGCAATTGCATTAGGCAGATCACCATTCTACTGATCTTTTGCGCTGGCCCTCTCTATATAATTGTATTAGGCAGAACACAACTTTTGCTAAATCTGAAACTGAAAGTCACAATATGGTTTCTTCAGTTATTATTATTATCATCCTAGTTTGTCCTGCTGTGGTAAAAAACATAAATGTTATCAAATCATAAATGCAAAGGTTGGTCTAGATGTTGGTTACTTGGTCTTTTGAGGTTATAGTCTTCGCTATGATCGCTGTCGCGTTATCTTTTTTTCTTGTGTTAGGAAAAAAATATATATTAAATTACAATTGATGCATCTTGATACACCTCTTTAAATCACTATTTTGAAGGGGTCACAAAGTTGATGCTATAAGAATTGTGGAGTAACTTTTACTCTTTGTGGGAGGAAAACAAAGAAGCAATAGTCTATACTCTGCACATTTCATTTCCAAATGCAGTTCTGTTATCTTTTATATCCGAATTGTGAGCATGTTCCTGACAGGGTTTAGTTTATATTGTGCCTTCCAGTTGAAATTATCACCCATTAAAACTCTGGTCGCATGAGCTGTCAGGTAGTTTCTCTACGTACAGTCTTTTGTGTTTTGACCCCCTGTCCCTCTTTTTATTGTTTTTATTCCCAGTGTTTAGTATTAAGCAATCAGTCATGAAAACCGTCTATCATTTTAGCAGTGTTCCCATAGAGGTCCGTGAAAATCATATCAGTTTTTCTCATATCACTTGATGACCAACACCAAGATGAGGGAAAGTTTAATGATGATAGCGATAATAGTATTAGCAGTAGTGATGTTTTGTTTTCTTCTAACGCAAAGATAAAGTTAAGTTAATTAAAGAAAAGGGTTTATGGTTGTTGTGAACTTCTATGAGGAATTACTCATAAGATCTTATAAGATCAATTGGCGAACTTCTAAAATTGATGTTTCTTTAAGTCACTTTTGAGACGACATTGTGTTGGAGGAATGATCTATTCTCATTCTTATTTATTCAAAAGAGGGGGGGTGGACCACATTGACATACATGGGGTGCACATGGGTTGGATAATTGAATGAGTGGATGAGAAGTGGCCACCTCACTACCAAGCATTCCCATTTTAAGTCACTTTTGAGACGACATTGTGTTGGAGGAATGATCTATTCTCATTCTTATTTATTCAAAAGAGGGGGGGTGGACCACATTGACATACATGGGGTGCACATGGGTTGGATAATTGAATGAGTGGATGAGAAGTGGCCACCTCACTACCAAGCATTCCCAT